ATCCAGACAGAATCACAATAGAGACAGCGCAGCCCAAGCCACCGAGGAACTTGCAAGTTGGCGACCGAGTTTGGGCAAGGAACTATGGTCAAGGGGCACTGTGGGTGGTAACTGTGGTTGTAAGGTGTCAGGACCGCTCTCTTACGAAGTGGTCCTGGAAGATGGGTGCATCTTGCGCTGCCACATTGATCAGCTGCGTTGGTGGCAGGTGAGACAAATCCTTGCCGCCGACCAAGAGGAGAGCCAAGGGCTGCCTGACAGCTGCAGCATGTCTGAGCCACCGGAGTCCTGCACGACTCAAGGAGACATGCTGGATGACTCAGTTGTGATTGAGTCATTACCAACAGAAGGAACAGTGCACTCAGACCAGAGTGCACACCAGCCCTTCCAGAAGTGCTCCACTCACGGACATGTGTACTGGTCTACCCGGCCAGACCAGCCGAATGGAGACTGGTCTACCCAGCCAAACAAGGCAAACAAGAGACTTGTCTACCTCATCCAAGCTGTCAAAAGGACTCCGGTCTACCCAGTCAACCGAGGGTAGACCAGGAGCCTCTGGCAGAGATGCGGCGATCGACACGATTGCGGAAGCTGCCTACTTATCTAAATGACTATGTACAATTTATGGATATGTACTGATTTAAGGGGAAAGGGTGTTATGTATTAAGCAATTCAAAGGGTCTGTTATAAAGAATGGTTAACTGATTGCTTTATTTGGATGATTGTCTGTCTGTATAACTTTAAGCCTTAGTTTTAGGCGGGAATGAGTACTTTAAACTGATTGGCTGCCACCTTGCTTCTGTGAGAACCTACCATATATGCCGGCGTATAAGATGACTTCCGGAAGCGCTAAACTCGGCGTCAAAGACGGGGGTCGTCTTATACGCCGAGTTGTCTTATACGCCGGAAATACTGGTAGTTTCCAGTGTATAAGATGACGTTCTAGGAATGCGGCTCAGCGACAAAGACGGGGGTCGTCTTATATGCCGGGTCGCCTAATATGCCGGCATATACGGTAATAAAGAGCTGTTATTTCAACTCTGTGTCTTCAATGTCTCGCTGTTCCCGCTACACAACACTTATAGTTTCCTAGTTGAAACTATGGAAGAGACTGTCCATGTTTGTGCATTAGGCATCAAGAGGCACATATAGATAAAGAATATTTACATACCATTCAAAAGATATAATCAAATTAGCTCATCCTTTTCAGAGATGTCCAGATATTTTATGTGAATAGTAGCAAAATTAGGACATCAGAAACATTACAAAAGAGCTGGGCCATTTTCATTCTATGTCAAATGCTCTTTCATTATGGAAAGGCCAAATTAATAATCCAGAGACAAACAGTAAATACTGCAATATCATGAGTGAGGGTCAGTTGCCAAGTGCTTGAATTACGATCCCATGATTTTAGGGATTAAGTTGTTAAATGTGGACACCAGTTGCAAGTTACTTTCTTCAGCGTTGTTATAACTTTAAATGGTCACTAAATGAATGGTCATAAGTCAAGAACTACCTGTACTAGTTTGCTTTGTCAGAACAAAGTTCTGTTCCATTGAAATCAAAGGCAAACTCTCTACTGATTCGCTTCAGTTTTCTTAAAGGGTAAAAGTGCAGTCAGATTATAAAGGCATTTAACTATGAGGACACAGTGTTTGGATAAGTTGTTTTATCCTCTTCTGGATACTAAGGTGGTTCTTCTAGGGCTAAAATGTCACTTATATCTATAAAGCCAAAAGCCTGATCATCATCTACATAGGAACAACTGGAGAAGCTCCACATCCCAGGTTTGGAGTTATACAAAGCAGCTCCAGATGAGAAGTTTTAAACGCTGGAGAAAGAGGAGGGAAAAGCTTTAGTAGTGCAGGTTTTTAAGAATAGGAATGCAAAACGTTTTTAAATGTAAATGGATTATATTTGGGCAGAAAAGTACTATCTTCTTTTTGATATTAAAAAGATAATGAAAGTAGAGAACTTGCCTGTTCTGAATGAGATTCCTCATAAAGAATAAGTGCATAATCCTAGAATCATCACTGTCACTAAGGTGGCCTAGGTCATCTCTGTGGTAAACAGTGCCTATCATCAGCTATGCCTTTTCTTGGATGGTGATTTTCAGTTACAAAAAGGCTTGCATGATGACCTCACTTTTAGACAACTATAGCTAGAAATTATCCGGATTGGAATCTGCAGCTGGTGTAAAAGGCAGAGCAAGACTGTTGACCGGTGTGGGATCCCTGAACAAGATTAATATCTGCAAAGGTTAACATCTTTTGAAGCAACTTCAGGGCTGCCAATCAGCTAATGAGCCAGATTTAAGGTTTGTTTTTAACATATAAGATTCTAGCAGCTTGGGAGAAAGACATTTAATAGTTCTTTTGACATTAGAGACCAAGTTGTGGTCATCTAATAATGGTTTTCCCTGTGTGTGGTGAAAACAACAAAGTGATAAATGTTAGAGAATTTATGGAAGCCTGGCACTCAGACATATCAGCTATTAACAGACACAGAGGTAAACAGCATATATAGACCACTCAAAAGAGAGAATCAAAAAGCCAACAAGGAAACAAAAAGACCAAAATTTCCTCATCAGCAATCAGCACCCAGATAAATAGGGATTAACACCAAAATTAATACTAGACTGACAATTAAGAAGTAAACAGTACTCTAATCAAGAAACTACCAATTCAGACAAAGAGCCACCAAGATCCATCAACACTGACAGGACAAGCCACTAGTACAGGGGTGTCAAACTCACAATATCATGTGACATGTCACAACATGTTGCAACTTTTTTTGTCATTGCCGGCAATGGGGTGGGCACGGTTTTGCTATGATGCATCCGGCCTGAGGGCAGGCAGTTTGACACCCCTGCACTAGTACAAGGGTCTTCAACCTTGGCAACTTTAAGACTTGTGGACTTCAACTCCCAGAATTTCTCAGACTGGCTGAGGGATTCTGGGAGTTGAAGTCCACAAGTCTTAAAGTTGCCAAGTTTGAAGACCCTGGCACTAGTATATTAAAAAGAGAGCATATGACTTCTTTCTAGCACTGATGATGTTACCTAGTAATAAAACATCTGCAAGAAAACCATGGAGCTCAGAGAGCAGCAAGGACCTCACATTTCAACCCTGAGCTACAAATATTGCCTTCTATTGATATTTCTATTTTTTTTTTCAAATTCTTCTGATGCCTTTGATTGCATCTCTTAGGTATTGTGAAATGCTTATAATAAAGCTTTTCACTTTTTTATCTTTTCTTTGTTACTCTAACTGAATAATTTTATTCAGTTTCAATTCATATTTTAATTACAAATGAAGGCAAATATACGTGTTTCAGGATCTTGTATATTTTAATTGTTGAATGTGAACTACTCTGAGATTTGTAATAGGAAGAAAGAGAAATAATACGATGCTTCGGACATAGTTAGAATATAAGTTGCTAATAAATGTTCCACCACAGACTTCTTAAGCAGACCAAACAGCAGTTTTGTGTTGCAAATATCTTCTACATCAAGACAACATTTTTTTCTGCTTATTTTAATGTAATGGAACACATCATATACAATCATGCTGGAACTCTAGAAATACAAGAATTCAAATATCCTGGGAATTAGTAAATCATGAGCATATCCTAGATAAGAGAAGCATACATAAATTAGAAATACAATCCAAAAAACCAAAATGTGACTTAGTTATAAAATAATATTTTTTAAAATCCCCCATAACTTCTTTTTTTTTTTTTTTGGAGCACAGGTAACTAAATAATTAAATTTATTTACTGTTTTCCCTTTGAATAGTAGACTACCCTCCCTATCCTCATACTGTGGATTAAAGAAACTGCTTTTCAAGCGCATTAGCTTCTCCAAAGCAGCTTGCAATACGGTGCAGGTGATGGACATTTTAAAATAAGAGCAGAAAGATATGTGAATCCTTTATATTGTTCTTTTGTTGCCAGCTTAAGACCACACCACATTTTCTCTACATTAGCATGCAGAAATTAAAAGATTCGTTCTTCAGGTATTATAATGCCTAACAGAGGGAAAGCACTCTGGTTTTTCTAAGATTATTATTGGACCTTTACATACAATTCTGTGTATGAATGTGTTGAAGTTCTCTTTTGAATGGACATCGTTTCTATTAAAGCACTTTACTCTGGGAAACAAGGGGGGGGGGAGAAAAATGAATCATTGAGCCAAAATGGCCATTTTCTATAATACTGCATGAGAATCTTTTTGGGGGGGACCAACAGGAAAAACAGTCCTAAAAATCCAGATGTAGCTTTGACAGAAATTCACCTTCTAAGAGGTGATACTGTGTTTGCAGTTGTTCAATTGCTTCTTCAACAGGCTGGTTGCCGTATGCCCCTTCCCCACCCCAGTTTTACTAAATCCGGTAAAAGTCTTTGTGGGATAACACAATTTATAGAACTTAGTGGAATAGTGAATCAAAAGTTTTTCTTTTCTTTTTTCTTTTCTTTTTGTGAAGAAAAGAGAGAGGAGTTATAAGCTTGGCAGCTGGCAAGTTGGGAAAAGGATTGAGCACTGATTTGCTGGCATTCTCAGAGCTCAGCTCTTAATTAGTAATTAGCACTTTGGATTTGAAGGGAAAGATGTGATTCAGAGCACATGGGGATGTACACATAATGCCCACTGGCAACTCCTTACATTTGAGAAGTCTTTTCCCAAGACTGCGTAGCAGCTATAGAAGACAGCTGCATGAATCCAGGACATTGCAGACTGGTGCTAAAGGAGAATTCTAAAGGAAATTTTTCTTTTCAAATCTGATGTGGTTCAGTGGCTATGCTAAATGTCTTTGGGGTCCAAGAATGGTGAAGGCCAAGCAAAAGAAATCACAAATTGGATGTAAAACATGTTGAGAATCATTTGCAATTGGATGCAACTGGCAGGGCTCAAGAATTACAAGTGCTCCATTTGTTACAAAAATGTTTTTCTAGAACTCCAAGTATTTTACATAATATTTTAAAGAACTGCTTATAAAAACCTGTAAGCCAGAAGCTTTCTGCCTTGCAGGCCATCATGTTGTGCCTTCACATCTTCTGCTGTGATCAGTTAATTCAGAAATTTATTCTCCTTCGCTTGTAAGATTGCTTGCATTCCTTGCTATGCTCCAGGGCAATTTCTTTCTCAGTGTCTAAAATGAGAGAATATGATGGGTAAGAAAGAAAGGGAGATGGATTAAATGTGAGTGATACAGAACTGTGGGAAAGAGAAAAGGAAGATAAAGGAAAGGGGAGGAGGGAAAAGAAGAAGGAAAAGAAGCAGTAGCAACAGAAAAGATTGCTTTGGGAATATCTCATTGTACTGAAAAATATGTGCTCTAGAACATTTCATGGAGGAAGCTATATTGCAAATTGACTGGAACTAAGTGTCTTCAGTTCTTGATGTATGTAATTAATGTTACAATAATCCTTTCCCATTTTAACTTTGCTCCTTCCTCCACAATATTTTACCTTGTTAAGGTGGCTGAGAATTCACCCATTTAGGAAAGTATTTGTAAAATATTGTGGTTTTCTCATGAACTTTTCTGAATCCTGATTTGTTTAAAGAATTTAAATCATAATGACAAATTCTTTATAATAAACCTGTAATTGCACTGAAAAAAAGGGCAACCACATTTTTTTGTTAATCACAAATAATCAAAAGATGGTAATGAATGTTTTATGATTTTCTGGCCATGACTTCTGCAAAAGGCACAGCTTATTTTTTGAATAAAATAAATTTTGCTTAGCCTTTATTTTTTTTGCATTAACTTCTGCCTTCAAACTGCTACAGCCAGAAATAAGCTAATATCCAAGAATGTTGACTGGAGACTATGAACAAGTCATATGCCTTATAATTAAAACACTTAATTTGAGCCCCACTTTTAAAACTGGAATAGGTGGTCTTATTTTGAGAGAAATGTTTAACACTTTAACTCTTTACATAAAGTTTTAAACATAAGCTATATACTTTCATCCCACTTAGTGAATTCCAAAGTAATATAGATTCAAGGACAGTTCTTAATTCAAAAAGGTTTTATTTACTTTTTTAATGGGATTTACATATGGAATCGGGAATGGGTGAGTATGAAGTGTGTGAACGAAAAATCCAGAACTCTGAATGGTGAACATTTTTCTTTCTAATTTCCCCCCATCTTTGAATGAAGTGCTGGTAAATAAAAGTTCAGCAGCAAAACCATTACAAATGTGGGTTTATCATAATATGACTATCTACTTTGTAGCTATTGTATCATGTAGTCTCCTGAATGTTTGCATTCCATAGTAAACAGTGAGGCCTAAAGAATGTAGTCCACAATCCACAACTAATCCTAAAGTCAACATTCCAATGTCCTAAATCCTGAGAAGGAAGCATGAATGTCCACTGGGAGAAAAACTGTATCTAGGCTGCTTTCTGAGATTAAAGCCAGTGCAAAGTTTACTCATTTTTTTTAACAAAATCAAAAGCATTCTTATCAGATAGCAAAATGATATGGAAGAATAACACTTCATTTTGCCATTTGAAGAATAACAAGTGGCAACATTTCCTGACACTTTCTCTTTTGGCCCCATTTCTACTCAAATCCATGTTCTTAACTGGAAACCTTTACTCCTTTTCCCAAAATATAAAATCAATTCAGGACCACTTTCAACAATTTATTTATTGATCAATTCAGTACAACTTATTGAACTTTGAAGGGCTAATAGAACATTCATTCATGTGTTCAAAGAAACTTGTTTAATGAGAAGAAAAAAGGAAATTCATTTGTATACTTTGAAATGATCCATTTCTTATTTGGGACAATCTGGAATCTTTTCACATCACAACAGCCTTCATAGGGATCCAAGGGATACATTTCTTACAGTAGAGTTCCCCAACCTTTCTGGCTTTGTGGACTGGTGGGCAGGGATGGAGATGATTCCGCATGAATGGAGTGCATGCACATGCACTTGCCAGCTGCTTGCGCAATTGGAGATGCGTAGGCGCATACTCACCCACCACTTCTGCACTCCAGTTTTGAATGGGTCAAGGCCCGATAGTGGGCCATGGTCTGAGGCTGGGGACCCCTGCCTTACAGGCTTCCCGATTAGCTCATTACAAAGCAATGTGTGATATTGGGAGAGGCAATTATTTTTACACATTTTACACATTTACCCATTTAGCATACATTACTCAAATTCAGCCCAAACACATATCATGATCCTACCCATCAGTTGACAGTGGAAGGTTACTATTATTTTATCTTTAGAACTAGGTTTCTCTTTTTGTAGAACAAATCTTTCTGGCAGCAAAACTACATAATAAGAACTTTATATTCTCCACTAGTGTCCTAACCAAACAATTTAATCTGATCCTGTAGATTGTTTTGGATCTTAACGTTTTTTAGGAATCTTGCTGAACTTTTGGATTAAGGTCAATTTTCCAATTTTCAAATTTCAAGTTATGGAATTTCACTCTGAGGTTGAGCAATTACTGGGAAATCTCTGAGAAAAATTATATAGATTTGTTTGATCTAACAAAGGTATCTGCTGTAGTATAATTTTAATAGCTATTTCAGTACAGCTCAATATTAAAAACAAATGTACAATTTAGGTAGTGCTCTGTTTTGACATCTGGTATAATGAAGCTACCTGTAAACAAATTAATGGTTGGACTAATTGTACTGGTTCACAATGCCATTGTAGAGTAACATACTTTTGTTTGCATGAAAAATCTCAACCTCTAAAATGTCAGTGGCAAAGATATTACTAGAGGGCCAGTTTAGTTTAAAAATTATGTTGAAAAACCTAACAGCTAGCTGACTTTGGCTCAGTAATTCTCTTTCAACCCTAGTAAGAGGGCAGTGACAAACAACTTATAAAATACTGCCTAGAGAATATATATATATATATATATATATATATATATATATATTATATATATATATATATATATATATATATATTTGTTTTCTGAGGTTTTCGCGGGTATTTGTATGTAGGTCTTTGGTTGTTCGGGTTTTCTCCCACGTAAAATTGGAAGTGTCTTGGCGACGTTTCGACGAAGTCCCATTCGTCATCTTCAGGCTGGTGCTTTCAGCTTCGTGCCTCGAGCAGCAGTGTGTGGTCTTGGCTGTTTCTTCCTTTTAACTGCCAGTGGAGGTATGAACTGATTGGGTGGGAGCTTGGCTGTGTTCTGATTGGGTGGAGGTGTGTTCTGATTGGTTAGGGGCTTGGCTGTGCTCTGATTGGCTGGGGGGTTGGCTGTGCTCTGATTGGCTGGGGGGTTGGCTGTGCTCTGATTGGCTGGGGGAGTGTTCTGTTTGGTTGTGCTCAGGTTAGTCTGAGTTGCAGAGGGATTCAAGATTTTGGGCTGCCCTGCCATTCCTTGGCTTCGCGTTCGTGGTCGTGCTTCCTCTTCATGGAGGGTGTCAGTTTGCTTCATGTATGGATTGGGGGGGTTTAAAGTGGCTAATGATGCAGCTGTGGTCTGGCTTCTGGTTTGTGGTCGTGCCTCATAGTCAGTGTGGCTTTGGGTTTGTTTTTTGCGTGGATGTTTGGTGGTGACATCCTGTGTGGTTTTTGTGAGTGTGGGTCTGGTATCATTTTTTGTGTTAGGGAGTCGTTTGTCAATAAGGGCGGGTTTCCAAATGGCTGGTAGGCGGGAGGTATCATCTCGCTTGTTCATGCTGTGTGGGCGTTTTTCTATCTCGATGGCTTCTCTGATTATTCTGTTATTAAAATGTTCACTTTTGGCAATGGTTCTGGTATTTTTAAAGTCAATTTCATGTCCTGTGGCTTTAAGGTGTTGGACCAGGGAAGATGTTGGTTCCTCTTTTTTGACTGAGTTCTTATGTTCTTCAATGCGTGCACTTATTCTTCTGTTGGTTTGTCCGATGTATGTGGTGGGACAAGTGGTGCATGGGATTTCGTATACTCCTTGATTTTCTAATTCAATTTTATCTTTGGGGTTTCTAAGGATGGTGGATATTTTTCTGTTTGTGCAGAATGCTGTTTTGATGTTGTGTTTATGGAGGATCTTACTGATTCTGTCTGTGGTGCCTTTTATGTATGGGAGGAGGGCTTTGCCGTTTTCTTGTTCTTTGTCTTGGATTTTGGTGGGGGTTTCTTTTTGGATTAGGTTTGTAATCTTATTTCTATGGAATCCATTGGATGTTAGTACATTGGTGAGAGTGTGTAGTTCGGGTTTTAGGTGTTGTTCGTCAGCTAAGCGTTTTGTTCTGGAGATGAGTGTCTTGGCTACAGAGTTGATCTGTGCTGGGTGGTGGTGTGAGAGAGCGTGCAGATAGCGGTTTGTGTGTGTTTTCTTCTGGTAGATGGTGTATCCTAGGGAGCCATTGGATTTCTTGTAGACTAAGACATCCAGGAAGGGAAGTTGGTTGTTAGTTTCTGTTTCCATGGTGAACTGTATTTTGGGGTGTAGGCTGTTGAGGTGTGTGAGGAATCCAATGGAGAAGGGCAGGCAGGAATAATAGGCAGGACAGCAGTTTTGGGGGGGGGGAAGTTTGGGAAGGAGAGTCCAACAGGAACGCAGGTTGGTAGATGGGAACAGTACGTAGGACAGCAGGTAAGGGAAGGAAGAATGCTGGAAGCAACAGCAAACAGAGCAGTGGATTGGAGAGGGGGGGAGGAAACAGGAGAGGGGGAGACTGACAGGAAAGGAGAAGGGCAGATAAGAATAGCAGGCAGGACGGCAGATTGGGGGGGGAGAAGGAGGGTTTAACAGGAATGGATGTTGGCATGTGGGAACAGCATGTAGGACGACAGGTCAGAGGAGGAGGAATGCTAGAAAAGAGAGGATGGACAGAAATGGATGAACAACAGGCAAGTCAGCAGATGATGGGGAGGACAGTGGGGGAGGAGGGTAAACAGGAACAGCAGGTAGAGCAGTGGATCAGGAAGGAAAAGATTGAGGAAGAGAACATCAATAAGTATGGTTGATGAAAGGCAGGAGCAATATGTTAATCAACAGGTGGGAGGGTTGAAGGAAGGGGGGGGAAGGATGACAGGAATGGATAACAAAGGGTGCATGAATCGGCAGGCTGGGAGAGGAGGGGGGTTGGAGGAGGGAGTTGAAATAGAAACCAGCAATGGTATGCAAAAACG